GACAATTTTAAGTTGACATTTAATATGTTTTTAGATATGTGAGTATAATTTTGTTAATAAAAGTATTAAACACCATATAAGATGAAACCTCCAAGTGGAAAAAGTACTGTAAGATTTGATATAACTAAGTTTAACTAGTTTACTGAATAAATCTTTTAAATTCTATCCATGTCAATTTTATCCACTACCTCTTGCCATTTTTTGTAGTCCTGCAAAATATTTAAATTGCTTTTAAAACATTCCAAGTTGCTAATTTAAATGGCATCTTTTTTTTTGGAATTCAGAACATGTCCAGAATGTCCTGTTTCTAACTCTGAACTTCACCCTTAACAAAAATAAATATAAAATGAGGAAAGACAGGTTTGAAGTGTCTTGATTAATCAGTATAAGGGAGTTTCCCCAAACCAGAATTCACTTGATCCCTTTGTTTGGCACCCAGAATTTTATCCCTGGCGAATGGATCATAGTAAGGGTTTGTTTGGATAAAAGGTAAGTCTTTCTTTTGTAAAATGGACTATTTTTGGACAAATCAATTTTGAGAAAGAGTACCTGTGAAATTTGAGCCAGAAATTTATTCCCTTAGTTGTTTAAGAAATTGATTGCCTTAAATATTATCTGTGCAAGGCGTAACTAACCTTTATTGTCAAAGCCAAGATAGTGACACCCTTGGTGTGAGATGAGAGGAGGGGGAGGATATTACTAAAATCATTATGCTTTTATTCCTTGATCATCTTACTCTTTAAAAAAAAACATTATTATTTATTCATTTTTGCCTGCACTGGGTCTTCATTGCTGTATGCAGGCTTTCTCTTGTTGCAGAGCATAGGCTCTCAGGCACACTGGCTTCCATAGTTGCAGCACATGGGGTGAGTAGTTGTGGTGCTTGGGTTTAGTTGCCCTGTGGCTATAGGACCTTCCAAGATCAGGGATCAAACCTGTCCTGTACATTGGTAGGCGGATTCTGAACCACTGGACCACCAGGGAAGTCCTGATCATCTCTTGAATCTGTTCATTGCTCTAAATCTCCTGGGTTACTACACTGGACATGCTGCTTCTAATTCTTGATGGCTATGTTTAGCTCTGAATTACTCTCCCTAAATCCATCCTCTTTATTCCTCCAATCACCCTCTTTGTTTCCCCCAGTTAATGCCTATATTTCCTTTAGGAGCTTAATTTTCAAAACTTGAGGAAGGGGCTTCCCAGGTGGCTCAGTGGTAAAGAATCTGCCTGCCAATGCAGGAGGCACTGGTTCAATCCCCGGTCTGGGAAGCTCCCACATGCCCATGTGCCACAACTACTGAGCCTTTGCCCTAGAGCCCAAGGGCCACAGCTACTGAGCCCTACGGCCTGTGCTCGGCAACAAGAGCCTCTGCAGCTAGAGCAGAGCCCTGCTCGCCACAGCTCAAGAAAAGCCTGGGCCGCAGCGGAGACCCAGCACAGCCAAAAGCAAACAAGCTTGAGCAAGCATCCCTGACCCGCTATGTCAGATGCTTTTATTGTGTATTCCCACAAGACTATATATATCTTCCTTAATAAAGTTATCTTACATGCCTCTGTGTTACTGATGTTTCCCCAGAGTAAAATGTAGGAAGGCTGGGAATGTACCATTCTTTACTCACAATTCTATTCCTAATGACTAGCACACTTTAATCACATAGTAAACACTTGGAGGAAATTCTTACTGAATGACTGAATCAAGCGCTTTTTAAATTTTAAGAGGAACGTGTTTGTAAACTGAAATCCTACATGAAATTTTGATAATATGAAGCAGATTGACAGATAAAAGTAGAACTTCTCTGATACGGAGAAGGAAGTCGGAGACACGGTGCTCTGTCAGCTTTAATCTCCCACTCCTTTTCTCTCTCATAAACTCTGACACACCACCAGGGAAACTCAGAGCTCCATGATACATAATCTGAAGATAATTGCCCTACCACATGCAGTTCTCAAACTTTTGTTCTCAGGACTCCTTTACACATTTAAAACTTGAAGACCCCAAAAAGCTTTTTCATGTTTATTATAGCTATTTGTATTGGCCCTACTAGAAATGAAAATTGATAAATCACACAGAAATACATCAGTTCCTTAAACTTAGGAATAATAAGCCCATTGGTGGTGGTGTAGTCGCTCAGTCATGTCCGACTCTGTGTGACCCCATGAACTGAAGCCTGCCAGGCTCCCATGGATGGCTGTGGGATTCTCCAGGCAAGAATACTGGAGTGGGTTGCCATTTCCTTCTCCAGGGGATCTTCCCAACCCAGGAATCAAACCCAAGTCTCCTGCATTGCAGGCAGATTCCTTACCAACTGAGCTATGAGGAAAGCTGTAAGTCCATTTCATGTCAACATAATGTATTTTTATTAAAAAATTACTTCTAAATAAAAAATTAGAAGATTGGCATTGCTTTACATTTTTGTAAGTCTATAATATCCTCAGTGACCTGTTATAGGGTCTTCCCTGGTGGCTCAGATGTAAAGAATCTGAGGGAGACCAGGGTTTGATCGCTGGGTCGGGAAGATCCCTTGGAGAATGAAATGGCTACCCACTCCAGTGTCCTTGCCTGGAGAATCCTATGGACAGAGGAACCTAGTGGGCTATATAGTCCATGGGGTCTCAAAGAGTTGGACATGACAGAGACTAACACACACAATGACCTGTTATAATATCACATGTCCTACAGCCTCTGGAAAATTCAACCATATCCTTGTGAGAGAATGAGTGAAAAAAGAAAGGGATATATTAGTATTATCATAAATATGTTTTTTACCTTCTGGATCCCTTGAAAAGTTCTCAGAAATGGTCAGCACATTTTGAGAACCATTGTCCTATATCCAAAGGCCCATTCTAGCTATTATTGATAGTTTGATTTCATTTCTAAGAGTCTCTTGAGTTTTTTGAAGATTATGATCATTACCAAAATACTAACAAAGAATGTGAAGTGAATAATAAGTAGAAAAATGTTGAATTCAAAATAAAGGGACTAGAATAGTGGTTTTTTATTAGAAAGCTGACTGTAACAGTAAACAAATCTATGTATGCACCAAGTTAAAAAACCCCTGGGATTTACTTGGTGGTCTAGTGATTAAGACTGTGTACTGCCAGTGCAGAAGGTGGGGGTTCGATCCCTTGTCTGGGAACTAAGATGCCACATGCAGTGTAGTGTGTCATGGCCAAAACACCAAAAAAAACCCACCTCTATTAAATGCACTGAAATTACTTGTTCATTTGTCTCCCCTACAAGCCTGTGAGTTTTGGAAGAAAGAATTGGATTTTGATTTATCTTTGGTCTCTAGGATAATGTCTAACATAATAGGCACTACATCTTTGCTGAATGAATCAATTTAAGAATATAGAATGGACCACACATGCTATCACGTTTTCTAGGATTCACAACAAACAATTCAACAGCTTGTTTCAAGTGCACCTCATGCTCATATCAGAAATCTATCATCTATATGGTATTATAGCTTGCCTTTATAAACTTCTAACCACTTTCCTTGACATGTTTCAAAATGGTCTTTGACTTCATGTACAGATTATATTACTTGAAGTAATTCTTATTTTTAAAAAAAAATTTTATTAAAGTATAATTGACTTACGACATGGTGTTTCAGGTGTATAGCAAAGTGATTCGGTTATATATATATATATATATATACACATATATATATAATTTTTTCAGATTCTTTCCCATTACAGGTTATTACAAGATACCAAGTAGAGTTTCTTGTGCTATACACTAGATCCTTTTTGGTTATCTTTTTCTTTTTTTGGCCCTGCCCAGCAGTATACCGGTGGTTACCCAACCAGGAATCCAACCAGCAGCACCCTCTGCAGTGGAAACGCAGGGAGTCTTCACCACAGACTGCCGGGGAAGTCCCTGGTTATCTATTTTACATCTAGTTGTGTGTATATGTTAATCCCAAACTCTTAATACGTCCCTCCTTCCCCTTTCCCCTTTGGTTATCATAAGTTTGTTTTCTATATCTGTGAGTCTATTTGTATTTTGTAAAGTTCATTTGTATCATTTTTTAAAAAAAGATTCCACACATAAGACTGATACAGTTATCTTCGACTGACTTCACTTAGAATGATAATCTCTAGGTCCATCCATGGGATGTAATTCTTAATTTAACCAGAGGAAGGAAAAAGTCATGACTGCTTTTTTTCCCCCACCCTTTAAATTTGAGGTTTAAGATGACATTGGAGTGGGGAAACTGGAATAGAACTGCTCTCATTAAAAGTGCGCAGCTCCATACGTTAATTTCACTCTTCCTCATACGCGGCACTTAGATCTGGCATGCTGTCTGCTACCTATCGTGCACAGATGTCTGAAATCCCGAACTTGGCAGGAGCATCTGGAAAATATGCCTGGAGGGCATGGCTGTCTCGCTTCTCCACCGGGATCAGGGTGGAGATCACTAACTGGTCCAGTCATGATGGCCTCAGCATCCATCTGGCGTGACTCCTTCCCAGAAGCGGTGGGTCTATGGAAACTGACTAAGCCCTGGGACTCGGGCCCGCAAGGGTACGAAGGATCCATGCGCCTGGAGGACGTGGGAGTGGAGGAAGCTGCTAGCCACGTTTGATCCACAAGGTCTAGGGGAGCCGGAAGACAAGGCAGGCTCTCTAGGCTGCTGGGGAGACCGGAAAGGGGGCCTGGACCTTCCGGTCCCCTTGGGCCTCAGCCCCAAAGTATGGCTGACCTGGCGCGCAGGCGGCTCCACCTCAGCGCTGTCAGACAGGATGGGGACACAGGGAAGGAACCGGGGGCCAGATGGCAAGAGAAGACTTCAGACGACGGGGGAACTACTACCAGACCTACTCGCTCCCCCGGCTCTAGCCGCTTGCGCCTCGGTGGACCCGCAGCGCACGCAGCTCCGCCCAGCGCGGCTCGCGGCAGGGGCGGGGCCGCTGAGCTGGACGCAGCGGATTTGCTCAGCGTCGGCCGGGGGCGGGTCAGTCCCCCCTCCCAGCCACGGCTGGCCACGCCCCCTGTCCCCGCCCCAGGGCCCGCAGGAAATTGGGGCGGGCCCTGGCCTAGCTTGGCGGGAGGGGGAGCAGGGATGCAACCGAGGGCAGAGTCCGGGAGGGCTTGGCTCCCAGGGAATGAATCCTCCGCCTTCTCGGGTGGGAGCCTTTAAATACGGGCTCAGGCCCGGGACTCAGGGTGCGGCGCCTGGCAGCCCGAGAAGGGTGTGCGGTGAGGGAAGATCAGCCGGAGCAGGGCGCGAGTGCTGAGGCTGCGGCTGCGCGGCCCAGAGCGAGGAGCTGTCCGAGCCGGGGGGATAGAAGCGGTTGCAGCGCTCGGTGCCTGGAAGTGGGTAAGCGCCGTTCTCGGGCTGGCCCCGCCGCCCAGTGGGGTGCTCCCGGGCCCCGCCGGGATGTGGAAGGAACGGGGCGGGGTGTGCGCGCTGCTCCAGTCGCTCCCTGCGCGCGGTCCGAGGCTTTCAGTGTCACGATTCTTCGTCTCCTCTTCTGGGCTCTGAGCGGGAATCGTCCTTTGGATCTGCTGCCCTGGAAGAGAGATAGCTTAGGCTTTTAATTCAAGACTCGGCGAGTCTTCCAACCGCTTCTCTTTTCTGCTTTCTCCCACTTTCCGACTTAAGTGAGATTTCCCTGGCGCCTCTGAAAGCCGAACATCAGCAGAGGAAGTGGTCCTTTGCTTAGGGACCCCATTTTGGCCTCTGAATCAAAGGCTTTTGTGTTTAGATTTGCTCACATGGAGTGCTGACGCTTTTCCCCCTTCCCTGACTGCCCCTCTTAAGAAACTTGACAAGAAAACGAACCAGAGAGACTTTTCGAAGGCGAAGTCCTAAAATATTCTGTCGTGACATCTACATAGCTGTCCTGAAATGCATTGTTGGCCGCCACATCATATAATGGCTTTATTTCATGTTAAGGAAGGCCTTTCCGGAGTGTTTCAGGAGATCGTGTTTGTGTGAGACCTTGAAAAATTATACCTCTTTATATATAGGAAAATAATTGAGTAAGGTCGAGAATTCTGGTATATAGAAAAGAAGGATTCACTGGTAGGGAACTTTTCAGGGATATACAGAAGAGTAGCTGTTCATTGACTGCCCTCAAAGACACAGCGAGTCTGTGAGTTTCTTCAAATCCCCTAAGAAATGGGCAACAGTAGTCTGGTCTGTTCCTTGGTGGGTAGGAGGGTGGTTCTGGAAATGAAAGACGTTACTGTGTGCTCTGAGATTGCTTGGTAGTGCCCAGCCTCTAGTTTAAGGTAAGGGATAGACAACCCTGATTGAAAGGGTCTCCTTTCTTCTCCTGTTGCCGTACTCCTCTAATAGGAAAGCTGCACCTAATAAGCATACTCCATCTTCTCTCGCGTTGTTTGCACAGCTTCACATGAAACCCTTTAGATGTAAGGTTAACAATCTTATTCCCTGATTAAATATTTTCCCCAGGTCAGGCATCTGTTAGTATTTCATTTCTGAAATGTCTCAGATGATGTGTGAAGTTGATGTGACATCCATTGCCTTAGCTTTGTTGTTGTTTAGTCACTAAACTGCATCTGACTTTTTTGCAACCCCATGGACTGTAGCCTGCCAGGCTTCTCTGTCCATGGCATTTTCCAGGCAAGAATACTGGCCTCGGTTACGATTTCCTTCTCCAGGAGATCTTCCTGACCCGGGGGTTGAACCCACATCTCCTGCACTGGCAGATGGATTCTTTACCACTTAGCCACGAGGGAGGCCCATTATACTGGGTAGTTATAGAGTGTACTGAAGAGGGGTGGAGATGGAGGGATTATATTCACCTTAGATTGTAATCGGAGGTTCGCTCTTTGTTAGCCAGAGCTTGTAGGTTGAAATATTGATCTGAATTCATAAAATTTTAAATGAAAAATAGTTTTGGAACAGCTTGGATTGCTGTGACTTGCCCAAAACACGGAATAAAAAGTCATTCCAAACTGACTCATTCGTAAGCAAATATTACCATTTCCCAGACAGCACAGTAGAGGATCGGAAGGTATATAAAAGTAGAAATTTAAAGTGGTACCAGAAGATATCTGTGTCAGGCAGAGTACATCACTAACACTGTATCAAGCTCCATATTAAAGCTTATTGAAGATTTTGTTGAAACTTCCAAGTGGTAATTTATTGGACTTGCACAGATGGTACATCGGGCTTCTTCAGTAATTTCCGCATTGTCACAGGGGCAGTTCTATGATACAGGCCCACCTGCCCTCAACAATTTACCCTGGCTGCTTATATGAAAGGCAAGCTGAATACAGCCTGGCGACCAAGGTGGATAAGAAGTAACTCTGGGGGTTTCCCTGGTGGCTCAGTGGTAAAGAATCGCCTGCCAGTGCAGGGAACACAGGTTCAATCCCTGGTTCAGGAAGGTCCCACATGCCGCTTAGCAACTGAGCTGGTGCGCGCTCGAGAGCCCAGGAGCTGCAGCTTCTAAGCCTGTGTGTCACAAGTAATGAAGCTCATGTGCCTGGAGCTTGAGACAGGAGACACTACTGCAATGAGAAGCCCTTGCACTGCGACAAAAAGTAGCAACCCCCCCCCAACCCCACCAGCCAGCACGACTGGAGCAAGCTGCAAGCAGCACTGAAGACCCGGCACAGCCATAATCTTTTTTTTTTCTTTTTGGAAAAAAGAAGTAACTCTGAGAAGACATGCTAAAGTTCTACCTTAAGAGAAAGGATGATAGGATTTTGGACAATCTGCAAAAATACTATGATAAGCTGTCTGAGCTAAAAATATTCAAATAACAGTTTTCATCTCAAAAAGACCCTTAATAAAGAGTTACTCATCCAGTTAATAGTTAGTGAGAGCCTATTCTAGGTGCTTAGGTGAAGAGCAGCAGAGAAATGTTAGCCTGGGACCACCTTATTAAGCTCTTGAGCCCAAGAGTTCATCATGTAGATCTTCAACCCATGTTTATTGTAAGAATGTTAACAGAACCTGTTCTGGTTGAGATTGAGGGCATAGGCTGCCCTTACAACCTCTTGGCTATGGGTTAAGTGGTAACACCATAAAATCCTTTTGTTCAAAAGTCCTTTGAGATTTCACTTTTTAGGTATTCCACATGCATTGGTTTTGGTTAGAGAGGCCACCTATCCACGAAGGGTGTTGCTGTGTGTGGTAGGTAGGCCTTCAGATTTGTCACAGTTCAGGACTTGACCTTCAGCCTTACAGATCTGGAAGGTTGGTTTTTTTCTCCCACAGAGCTGTGGTTAATGAGGTTTTAGGTTTTAATTTAACGATGCCTAAGCTCATAAGAGACTGGTGAATATACTAGAATGGAACCTTGCTAATACAGTAGGGAAATTTTATTCTAGTTCCTGGAATACTGATGTCTCAAACCCAGGTCATCCCTTTCTAGTATTGTAATTCCTGGCAATCTGAACTCATAAGGCAGAGTGGAATCAGAGCCAAGAATATGGGGGTAATTTGCCATCCAAGCATTGAGAAAGCCTTTTCTTGCCTCACTGTTCTGAACCCAGAACACTTCTGACTTCCAGATTTTGTGTCACTTTTTAGACAGCTCTGAAATAAACGTCATTCTTCTTAATGTTCCTTTTCCAGGCTCTACGCTGATCATTCCTTCTTCTTTTCCTTCAATGGAGCTTGTTAGGTTTTAGATACATTAATGCCTTTGATTGTTATGGTTACTTTCAGCTGTTTCCTTAAGTTATTAAATTATAGCCTCATGGATTTTTATGGTCATACCTTCCTGAAAAAGGCATTTGAGACCCACTTCCAATTCATTTCCACTCTAGGAGACAATTATTACCTGTTAATACTTTTTTTTTTTTTGGTAATTTTAAACTTGTGGGCTTCCCTGGTGGCTCAGTGGTAAAGAATCCACCTGCCCATGCAAGAGACATGAGTTCAGCCCCTGATCTGGGAGGAGCCCACATGCTGAGGAGCAACTGACAGTGAATTGACCCTGTGCTCTGGAGCCTGGGAGCTGCAACTGTTGAAGTCTGAGCTCCCTGAGCCGGCGCTCCAGAGCAAGAGAAGCCTCTGCAATGAGAAGCTCAGACACCGCCACTACACAGCAGCCCCCGCTCACTGCAACCAGAGAAAAGCCTGAGCAGCAACTAAGACCCAGCACCGCAAAATAAATAAAAAAATAAAATTATTTTTTAAAAAACAAAACTTTTTATTTTGTGTTGGGGTGTGTGTGCTTAGTCGCTCAGTCGTGTCTGACTCTTTGTGACCTCATGGACTGTAGCCCACCAGGCTCCTCCATCCATGGGGATTCTTCAGGCAAGTATACTGGAGTGGCTGCCATGCCCTCCTCCAGAGGATCTTCCCAACCCAAGGATCGAACCCAGGCCTCCCGCATTGCAGGCAGATTCTTTACCATCTGAGCCACCAGGGAAACCCAAAAATATTGGAGTGGGTAGTCTATGCCTTCTCCAGGGAATCTGCCTGACCCAGAAATCGAACCAGGGTCTCCTGCATTGCAGGTGGATTCTTTACCAGCTGAGCTATCAGGGAAGCTCCAATTAACAATGTTGTCGCAGCTTCAGCAGAATAGCAAAGTGACTCAGTCATACATATACATATATCCATTCTCCCCAAAACCTTCTTCTCACCCAGGCTGGCATATAACATTGCCTCTCACTACCTAATATCCACTTTTTTTCCCCTTGTAACTAGGCAGATCACCTCACTTCTTTGGACTCATTTCTGTATGTAAGTCCTTATCTATTCCCTCCTGTCATCTGAAATGCCCTCCCCGCTTATATTTCCTTTCTATATCCTATTTATTCTTTAGGCCAGTCTTAGATTTTACATTTCCCTTGTTGTAAGAGCTTTCTTATTTTGATTCCCCTGGACTTTAACACTTACTTTGTCATTTAGTTGGTTATCAGTTCAGTTCAGTTGCTCAGTTGTGTCTGACTCCTTGCGACCCCNGCGCTCAGCTTTCTTCACAGTCCAACTCTCACATCCATACATGACCACTGGAAAAACCATAGCCTTGACTAGACGGACCTTTGTTTTGCTTTACCCTAAATAAAATAGTCCATTCCCCACAGTCTTTCTTTTTCAACTTTTCCTTTATTTCCTTTATGTAGAATTTACCACAACTGCATTGTTCTGTTTGCGTGCTCTCCTACTGAAATAGAACTACCTAAAGGTAGGAACTCTTGTCTGTCATGTTCACTGTTGTATCTATAGTACATAGAACAATAGTGTCTGATACTTAGGGGGTTCTTTAACAAACGCTTTTCAGTTGAATTATTCTCTAAATAAATTGTTAAGTAGTTGAGGGTCAGGACCTATATTATTCTATGGCCAAATTCTCTGCTGTGCCCACACAGTAGACCCGTAAGTTGGGAATGTTGATTTTTCATAAAGGAGAAGGGGATAAGCCTGAAGAAGGTTGAGGCACTTTTTCTGAAACCAGATGCCAAGATTCTTCTATTGTAGAGGGGATAGCAGCAGTGAGTGCTGGAAACACATCTTTGTAAACCTGCTCTAGGCCCACCTGTCCCTCCCATAGGTGGGAACTTTCCAGAACATTCCCCTCAGCTTTAGCCACTAAGCAATTCCCACGAAGTCATATCTCCCCATACATTTTCCTTGTCTATAGGGCACTTGAGGCTGAGAGAGTATTAACAGGCAGAACTGAAAAGTAGAAGGGTGAAGTAATGAAAGATACATGGTTGCCAAAAGTTTATTTTTCTGGGTTCAATGTTTTTCTTAAGGTGATTCCTGGAATACTAGCAAAGGTTGCTTGTGGTAGCAAAGTAGATAAGGATGGGGTAGGTGTGAGGCTTCTGTTTACCTTGTTACACAGATTTTTATTTTTATTTTTTTGGCTGCCTCAAGTGACTTGTGGAATCTTAGTCCCCTGACCAGGGACTGAATCCAGACCAACTGCAGTGAAAGTGCTTAACCACAGGACCATTAGGGAACACCTCAGATTTAATTTTTGATTCATATGATTATTACCTGTTCAAAATAAAAATACATTTAAAATACTACTTTGTATGCATATTGCTAAGCATATCGCTCTCTTTCAGAAGTCATTAGATTACAAATTCTGTACATATTTACTGTTTTACTAAAATTCCATTTTAAGTTGTTAAAAGGTCATTGGAGGGAATTCCCTGGCAGTCCAGTGGTTGGGACTTTGTGCTTACTCTGCAGGGGGCCGGGGTTTGACCCCTGGTCCGGTAGCTAGGATCCCAGAAGCCGCACAGCCGAAAAGAAAAAAGGAGTCATTGGAGATCAGACTCTGGGAGCTGATATCTTCTAATCATAACCAAAAGATCAATTTATAAACCAGATTACTTGTTCATTAGCTCAGACCAGGATACTTGTATGGGTTCTCAGGCCATTCATTTGTAGTAGGGAAGCTTACCCAGAGAACCAGTGAAGATTGGAACATTGTTTGATTAGTGAAAATTCGTATCAGAGGGAAATGGATCATCTTAATTATGTGCTTTGTGTACCTTTTTTCACTACAGGGATATACTTGCCAGGCATTGTAATTAGATGAGCCTTCCGTATTACCTTCTCTGATCCATACGGGAATATACTCACAGGTTCTTAAACTTTCTGATTACCATTTTCCTTCTTTATGGAATCCATGAATGGGTTAGATCAGATGATCTAATCTGAGATTAGATTTAGTCCTTGACAAGGACAAAATTTCTAAGAATTTGATCAGTTTGATTAATTTTGTTCTTATTCCTGAATAAACTGACATTGTTTTGTATAACTCAGTTCCTTGTCGTTTTGATTAGTGTGAATCAGTTCAGCTAATCACTTGAAAAGTCATCAAAATCTTCGAAATAGCTTTACTAACTACAGAAATTTAGTCTAAATAGCTAAGTCATGTCCAACTCTTGTGACTCCATTGACTGGCCTGCCAGGCTCCTCTGTCTATGGGATTCTCCCAGCAAGAATACTGGAGTGGGTTGCCATTTCCTACTCCAGGAGATCTTCCCAATCCAGGGATCGAACCCAGGTCTTCTGAATTGTAGGCTGATTCTTTAACCAATGGAGCTACGAAAGCCCAACTACAGAAATTACTTTCATTTAACTATTTCATAGTTTCTGATTAAAGTGAAATAGAGTTTAAGATTTCTGTCCAGTACCTAAGAAAGAATTGCTGAAGCTAAACTGTGCAGGGAGTATAATCTCAGAGGTATATTCTGGGCTTAGACGTAATCTTAATATCTGTCATTTTAGTCTAAACCTGTCATAAAGCTGACCTTTGTACATCAGCATTTAGTTAACCAAGAATTGCATGGGTGTGTTCACCTATGAATTTTCCCTTGGCAATTATGCTACTGTGTTAGAGGGCAGAGGTTTTATTGTGCTGCTTGACTTTCTAAATATTAGGTCATTATAATCTTTGTGACACTTTTTCAGTGATATCAATTACTATAATTTTTTCCATGTTTCGTGCTGGTACAGCTGAGAACAGGCTAGGTCATCCAATTGGAACATTGCTTTTTTTTTTAATCACTCTTTACATAATTCTTTTTTTTTCCCATTTATTTTTATTCATTGGAGGCTAATTACTTTACAATATTGTAGTGGGTTTTGTCATACATTGACATGAATCAGCCATGGATTTACATGTGTTCCCCATCCCAATCTCCCCTCCCACCTCCCTCTCCGCCCAATCCCTCTGGGTCTTCCCAGTGCACCAGGCCCGAGCACTTGTCTCATGCATCCAACCTGGGCTGGTGATCTGTTTCACCCTAGATAATATACATGTTTCGATGCTGTTCTCTTGAAACATCCCACCCTCGCCTTCTCCCAGAGTCCACAAGTCTGTTCTATACATCTGAGTCTCTTTTTCTGTTTTGCATATAGGGTTATCGTTACCATCTTTCTAAATTCCATATATATGTGTTAGTATACTGTAATGGTCTTTATCTTTCTGGCTTACTTCGCTCTGTATAATGGGCTCCAGTTTCATCCATCTCATTAGAACTGATTCAAATGAATTCTTTTTAATGGCTGAGTAATATTCCATGGTGTATATGTACCACAGCTTCCTCATCCATTCGTCTGCTGATGGGCATCTAGGTTGCTTCCATGTCCTGGCTATTATAAACAGTGCTGCGATGAACATTGGGGTGCACGTGTCTCTTTCAGATCTGGTTTCCTCGGTGTGTATGCCCAGAAGTGGGATTGCTGGGTCATATGGCAGTTCTATTTCCAGCTTTTTAAGAAATCTCCACACTGTTTTCCATAGTGGCTGTACTAATTTGCATTCCCACCAACAGTGTAAGAGGGTTCCCTTTTCTCCACACCCTCTCCAGCATTTATTGCTTGTAGACTTTTGGATAGCAGCCATCCTGACTGGCGTATAATGGTACCTCATTGTGGTTTTGATTTGCATTTCTCTGATAATGAGTGATGTTGAGCATCTTTTCATGTGTTTGTTAGCCATCTGTATGTCTTCCTTGGAGAAATGTCTGTTGAGTTCTTTGGCCCATTTTTTGATTGGGTCATTTATTTTTCAGAAATTGAGCTGCAAGTGTTGCTTGTATATTTTTGAGATTAATCCTTTGTTCGTTTCTTCATTTGCTATTATTTTCTCCCATTCTGAAGGCTGTCTTTTCACCTTGCTTATAGTTTCCTTTGTTGTGCAAAAGTTTTCAAGTTTCATTAGGTCCCATTTGTTTTTTCACAATTCTTAATGGGTCTGAATGTAGGAAATCTTTCCCTATACCTGTCACCTTGACAACTTTTATAAAGTGTGATGAATGTGCAGTGTGATTTCTTTAAATTTTCCGTTCTCAACAGTCAGTCTTACTGTTTCTCTTCCAGTACAGTCATGTTTGAAATTAAGAAGATCTGCTGCATCGGTGCAGGCTACGTTGGTGGACCCACATGTAGTGTGATTGCTCACATGTGCCCTGAAATCAGGGTGACGGTTGTTGATATCAATGAATCAAGAATCAATGCATGGAACTCTCCTGCACTTCCTATTTATGAGGTAAACCATATTAAACAATGCATTGTTCTTATGCTCTTTGCTTTCTTTTTTTGCTAATCTAATTTGCTGTAAAATTCTATGACTGTAACTGATAGAAATAAAATGGAAAAGTCTAAGTACATATTATGAACATTATAATTTTGTCAGATATGCTCAGGGAAAATGTGTAGAAAAAAAGTATACTGAATATTAATAATTGTTGTATTAGTGGAGTGAGATGATGAGTAATTTTCTTCTCTATTTTCTAATTTTGTCTGTTAGTATGGCTATCATATTATAATAGTGCAATTAAAAAGTGGCATTCTGTAAAAATAAAAAAACTGGTTGTTTGTGATATTGACTCATGTAAGCCTATTATATTTTTGAATTATTGTATTTATATCAGATAAACCTTGAATGAAGAAATGGTGTCTTTCATGTTCAGTGTTCACTATCACAAATTTGTTTAAATTGGAACTTCAATATTTCTTGAATTTAGAGAACTCACAGTTAGGAAACTGTGTCTCTATTTTATTAAGTAAGGTTTCATTTTAAAAAGTTTTCATAGTAAAGAGTTCATGATATTATCCTTTTGAAACCCAACAGAGAAGCATTTGAAAATTTTGAGGATAGCATTTTTCTCCAATATATTTTTTTTTTTTTTCCAGAAAAGTTTTTATAAGACTCTTATCAACTGTATTCTTTAAGCAGTCTTTAGAAGGGGAATCTCTGTAAGATAAATCTGCCTGCTCTTTGTAGGTCTATGAATAGAAATCCATGATTTGTTAATATCTAAGTCAGACTTAGAATTTTTTTAAAAGCCCTCTGTGTATGTGGTAGCTTCTCTTTGTGCTTTACCCTTTCTTCCTCTACCAGATGAACTCCCATAATACTTCTTTAAATACCTCAGTGTGATAGCATTTCTTTCCCTGGTATATAACAGTGCTACTATTTTGGTTTGCGGGAATTTTTAAAAGCATTTTGGAAAGATAACTTAATTAAAAGTTTAATAATTCTGATATCCGTTAAAGGGCTGGAAGTCATCTGAAATCTTGTGAACCATATCTATATCCAGTCATTCAGTTGATTACTGAATTGATTGTTACATAATTATTATGCCAGCATAATTTTTCAAAAACAAAGGGTAACAGAATGGCTAAAACTATGACTGCCGACAATGCCAAGTGTTGACAAGGATTTAGGGCAGTTGGAATTTTATGCACTGCTGTTGTTTAGTTGCTGCTTCTGCTGCTGCTGCTAAGTCGCTTCTGTCGTGTCCGACTCTGTGCGACCCCATAGACGGCAGCCCACCAGGCTCCCCCGTCCCTGGGATTCTCCAGGCAAGAACACTGGAGTGGGTTGCCATTTCCTTCTCCAATGCATGAAAGTGAAAAGTGAAAGTGAAGTCGCTCAGTTGTGACCGACTCTTCGCAACCACGTGAACTGCAGCCTACCAGGCTCCTCCATCCATGGGATTTTCTGGGCAAGAGTACTGGAGTGGAGTGCCATTGCCTTCTCCCATGTTTAGTTGCTAAGTTGTGTCAAACTCTCTGTGACCCCATGGACTATAGCTTTCCAGGCTCCTCTGTCCATGGGATTTCCCAAGCAAGAACACTGGAGTAGGTTGCCATTTTCTTCTCCAGGGGATCTTCCCAACCCAGGTATCAAACCCACATCTCCTGCATTGCAGGCAGATTTTTTACCACTGAGCCACCAAGGAAACCCTTATACACTGCTGATCAGAACATAAATAGGTACAGCCAGTTTGTAAAATTTTTAGTAGTAATTATTAAAACTGAAAATATGCATAGTCTGACATAGGAATTCCACTTCAAGGTGTTATTCCACAGAAAAGCATACATATATGCACCAAAAGACAGTATTATTAACAGTGTTATTCATAATAACCCCAAATGGGAAACACCCTACATATTAATTAGCAATAGAATGGATACATAAATTATAGTATAATTTTATAATAAAATACAATAATACATTGAAAAATCAATGAAACTACTCCTGCATGCAAGCATATGTTTAAATTCCAATAAAAGTAACAAGTCATTGGACACAAGATAGTCCATACTGTGTATCCCATTTATATAAAGTTCAAATATAGATATACTGGTCAGGTGATAGAATTCAGCATGATGGTAGTGTGAGGGGTTGTGGTTACTAGAAGAGGACATGCTGCAGGCTCTGATTTAATGTTTTTTTCGTTTTGTTTTTTTGACCCAGCCAGGCTTGTAGGATCTCAGTTCCCCAACCAGAGACTGGACCCAGGCCACTGTAGTAAAAACCCAGAATCCTAACCACTAGACCACCAGGGAACTCCCCTGTTAATATTCTTCAAATTCTTGTATGGATAGTGATTACACAAGTGTGTTCACTTCTGAAAACTGAGGACTTTTCTGTGCTCAAGTATATGTACTGTTTATAACTTTTTTTTTACTTCACTAAAATTTTTATTTAAAAAAAAGATTATATCGAACTAGAAGAAGTATAAGCTATCTATAATATATTGGATTTAGATATTTTTTCTTGGAGAAAACAAAAACATTAGTTGATCAGAAGGCATGCTCCCTAGTTAGATTCTTATTATTAGGACTGTTTTTTAAAAAAATAATTTTATGTATTTATTTATTGACTGTGCTGGGTCTCTGTTGCTGCCAAGGTTTTACTCTAGCTGGGACGAGCGAGGGCCGCTCTCCAGTTGGGATGGGTGAGCTCTCAGAAGTTGTGGTTCCCAGGCTCTGGAGCACGGGCTCAGTAGTCGTGGCGCGTAGGCTTAATTACTCCATGGCAGATGGGGTGTTTCCAGACCAGGGTTCGAACCCTTGTTTCCTGCACTGGCAGGTAGATTCTTTAGCCTCCAGGGAAACCTAGCTGTTGCTCCGTTGCTAAGTCATGTCCAACTCTTTGAGACTCCATGGAAGACCAGTGCCATTTCTATTATCTGAAATTTGAAACTCTTGCCTGAGACTTCAGTGCTTTAAATTAAAGATAGTGTGTTCCACAGATACAGAAAACTTGTGATTACCAAAGGGGAGAGGGAAAGGAGGAGGGGCAAATTAGAGATATAACAGAATTAACAGATATAAACTATATGAAATAGATAGGCAACAAAATTATCCTGTATAGCACAGGGAATTATACCCGTCATCTTGTAACAACCTATAATGGAGTATAATCTACAAAAGTACTAAGTCACTATAATATAGGCCTGAAACTAACACGATATTATAAACTAACTATACTTAAATAAAAATAAATAACAGCCAAAAACCCAAAATAAAAGTAATAGCCACAAAAGAAGTGAGAGGGTGATCTCAACTTGCCGTGTTATACTTTTGTTGCTTTTTTTAAAAATTAAGCTAAATTCCTCCCCAGAAAAGTAGTATGTTAGACATTGATATTGAATCCAATTGGGATATATATACTTAGATAAAAAGAATTAAGATCTAAGATGATTTTTTTCCATATCTTACTTGTTTTTTCTCAATAACCTACCAAAAAAATCAAAAGTCTTTCTTGTTTCACACTTTCATTTCATAAATTTTTTCTTCTTTAAGTCTCTTTAAATAGAATTTAAAGATTTGAAAGTCTGTCTAGCACTGGTGCCCATTAGAAACAATGTTTGAGTTCTCAGAACTCTAACATCCCATAATTGTATTGGCTTTATTTTAAGTTGTAATTATTTGGTCTTGATAGTCTTGTTTTAATCTCATTTTTAATGTATCTGCTCCAGAAAATTAGATGATGATGAGCTAAGCAGCTATTTTAGTTCGTACTAGTTAGTGTAGCTTGCAAAGAAATGGAGTCTCAGTAAAACCCAGCTGACTTTGGAGGTTGAAAACATGGCACTGCTACTTTAAAATTCTAGAAGGAATCTTCTTATAACAAGAAGATTATTGTTTTAACAAGTAGAGTGGTTTTCCTCTTAGGCTTATAATTTTCATATGTCTTTCTTAGACATCAGTTGTTAAAAGACACCTGCTGAAGGAATATATAAACCGGAAGAAAATAAATGATTTCCATAGCATTGTGTATTTAAAAAAAACAAAAATTGGGGGGGATGGGAAAATGAGTCATGTGACCCAATTATCCATTTTCAAATATATGTTAGGACTTTGTTCTGTTTTTTATTTCTTTTATTTTCTGTTGTAAAACTATTCCTACACATTTCCTTGGCCATTTTGAAGGTGTGAATGTTAGGTGAAATGTCAAATAGGGAGAACTGTAAAAGAAGAAAAACAAATGCCAAGTTTAACCAGAGTTCATGCTGTTCTATGAATTCCTTTACTGAGTAGCTTCTACAAATTGTTACCAGTTGTGACTTTACACTGACCTATCTTGGACAAGGCAGAAAAATATTTTATTTCCAGAGAAACTTTGGATACCTTTGCAATCAACTTCCTCCTTAAATCTGTATCCTATAATGCGTTTAAAATATGCAGCCAGGCTCCCCTGGTGGCTCAGTGGTGAAGAGTCCACCTGCTAGTGTAGGGGACGCAGGTTCAATCCCTGGTCCAGGAGGACCCCACATGCCATGGAGCAGCTAGTCCCAGGTGCCGCAACTATTGAGCCTGTGCTGTGGAGCCCAGGAGCTGGGACTGCTTCAGCCCGCAAGCCCTGGAGCCTGTGCTTCCGCAGGGAGGCCACTGCAGTGAGATGCCCAGGCGCCCCAACTGGAGAGTGGCTCCCACTTGCAGTGAGGACCCGGCGCAGCCAAAACTGAATAAAATTAAAAGAATATTTCTTTAAAAAAATAAATAAAATATACAAGCAGATGTTTGTTTTCAATGACACTATTAAAATTTATGGTATTTATTTTTCTTTGTAAATACCAAATTTTCATATCAGAGAGACTTGGTGATTTATGTTTAAATCCTGGTCACTGATAGAGAAATGATAAATCATATGTAATTATCATATTTAATGAGCTCTTTTGAATACACAGCTTCCTTGAGAGTCATTCCATCCTCACTCCACTCACTCTGAGACTCACTAGAACAGAAGAATTTTTTTTTACTTCGCCCTGAGGCTTGTGTCCTATCTTTTTGCCTTTTCATACTGTGCATGAGGTTGTTAAAGATAATCACGAAGGTGTGATCACTCACCTAGAGCCAGACATCCTGGAATGCGAAGTCAAATGGGCCTTAGGAAGAATCACTACGAACAAAGCCAGTGGAGGTGATGGAATTCCAGTTGAGCTATTTCAAATCCTGAAAGATGATGCTGTGAAAGTGCTGCATTCAATATGCCAGCAAATTTGGAAAACTCAGTAGTGGCCACAGGACTGCAAAAGGTCAGTTTTCATTCCAATCGCAAATAAAGGAAATGCCAAAGAATGATCAAACTACCATACAACTGCACTCATCTCACACACTAGCA